GTTTTGGTCATGTCGGAAATAGACCTTAAACTACTTATTAATTTAGTTCAAGAGCAGAGTTAAATTTTTACTCATTTTTATTTTTGGTGAATTTTCCACAAATAAGATATTACCGTAGGTCTCATGATAAGACCTGGACCCGGGACCGATTTAATTTTGCGTTTTGAGGTCCCCAGAGGCCAAAAACACCATATATATATGTGTGTCCGTTAGCACAATAACGCAAGCAAACACGATCCGATTTTGATGAAATTCGGTATAAATTGATGAGTTCGCGAACGAGCATGATCGGACCATGGGAACAGGGCCCTCAGGGGTAGTTGTCTGTCAATTACACGGAAGGCCTCTTGTAGGCTGGCAAACCCGAGGTAACCTAGCCAACCCCCAGATCTCTCCTCTTCTTCGTTCTGAGTTCTATGGCCAGCTAACTTCCTCTTTTTGCTGGCCCTTCTTTCTTCTTCACTTTCCTATTGAAGAATCTTCTTCCCTTCTCCTTTTCCTTTCGTTTTTGCTTTTGCGTGGGAACACCATGGATCAAAATAAAAAAACCCAACCAGAACCAAACCTCGGAGCAACTCTAGAAGTTGCACCGCCCACACCTCAGGAGTCACTTCACTCAGAGCAAGACTCCGCTCTTGAAACAAGTGCACCAAGAGCACAGGAGGCTCTAATGCTCTCATAACCAGGAACTTCCACTACGATGGAAGTTCAACTCCCCCCGACTGGAAACAATGGAGGACGAATCCCCGCTCACACCAGCTACACTGAAAAGAGAAGAGGAGCTTTTAAGTAGTCCTAAAACACCAAAATCTACAGGGACACTTGATGACGCCACTGAGCGACTTAGTCGTCTGAAGATGAAATACCGAATCTCACCATGGCACAAAGAAGGTAGCCTAGGCCTTAAAGGCAAAACTTCTGGAAAGAGGTGAACAATTTGACCCTGACAAATGGCGCAGGGCAAAAAGAAATACCCCCGCCGCAGCAAACCTGCAGACTAAGCGAATTTCCATTTGACTGATTGGATTTACACTGAAATGTCTACTTAAAAATATAACATTTATTCCCTATTTAAATAGAATTAGTTTAACAAGTACTTAGGTTTGCTGCATCAGGGAGGGTAAAACTGTTTTTTTTGTAAAATGTTAATAGTTAGTAAGAAATTAAAACATTTTCCAAATTTGATCAAAATATGTTCATAAACAAGTAAACTACAACAGTTTACTTATTCTCCATAAGAATAACATTGGAATTTTAAATTTACAATTTTTTGGAATTTTCTCCGTAACCATTAGGCGTATAACAACGCTTCAATATACTAAATTATTTGTTATTTAAGCTCTACAAAATGATTTGGAATGAAATTGCTAAATTTTATGTTTTTTGGGTCAAAAATGGGAAAAACCTATTTTTACCCCATAAAACCCCCCGTAAACCCCCGTTCCCATGGTCCGATCATGCTGGATCGCAAACTCGTTCGAATTACATCAAAATCGGATCATTTTTGCTCGAGTTATCGTGCTAACGGACATATATATATATATAAATATATAAATATATATATATATATATATATATGAATTTGAACGGATGGTGTTTTTGGCCTAGGGACCTCAAAACAAAAAAAAAATCGGTCCCGCGTCCAGGTCTTACCATGAGTACTACGGTAATAGCTTATTCCCTATATGGGAAATTCGCTAAAAACCCAAAATGCCACAGGAGGTAAGAACACCGGGCCCAACTGTGGGTCCAAATGTCGAGATGAGGGTGACCAAGCGCCCCAGAGGTGAAACGGTCACTCCACCATCGACAGAAGGACCTGCAAAGAAGGCAAGGTGTTCAACCCAAAGGTCGGGGGGATGAAAGACGCAAGGGAACCTGGTATGTCCAATGAAGTATCATACAGTGACATCACTGCTACAAAAATTGCCATTGTCCCTGAAAACTACCCTGAGGCTAAGCTTACTGACAAGCAAGGAGAAACAATTGATGCAGCAATCCTCTGACCTACAGTTCCAGTTGGGATCTGTGAGTGGGAGGGTCAGCTGCTTTACAGACATTGACCAAATTGCGGCCGACTTACAGGACAGAATGATCACTTTCTTCCATGAAAACTGTCTTCAGAGACAGAGAAAACGCAGTACCAGCACTAGATGGTGGACTGCAGATTTAACTCGAGGGCAGGTGGCAGGTGTCAGGAAACTATTTGACCAATGCAAACGGAGCCGTATGTGAGAGCCATATAGAAGGGCACTTACAGAATACAGCGTTGCAATAAAAAAAGCCAAACAAAATTCACGGAGACAGTTAAAGTTTACACAGGAGGTATACAGTCTCAGTGCTGTGGCCCGCCTTCAGCGGGTTCTAGCGTCCCGCCTTCAGCGGGTTCTAGCGTCCAAACCTATTGGACTCTTGGGATCTTAAGGTATCAGGAGGGCAATACACCACTGGGGTTGGTGGAAGTCTCAAACTTCTCCTTGAAACTCAATTCTCTGGCTGCATTTTTGAGAGTGACAACACAGGAGGGTCCGGCTGCACGAATATAAGTTCTTGGCCGAGAACTGATCGTGAAAGCTGGAATATAGCCAGTAGGGTTGTCACCCTCTCTAAAGTTAAATGGACAATCAATAAGTTTGGTCCATTTAAGTCTCCTGGGAGAGACGGCATCCATCCAGCCATGCTTCAGCAAGGATCGGATGCCCTCAACTCCTCCTATATGAACTCTTACGAGCGAGCTTGGCCTACGGGTACATCCCTCAGGCATGGCGTCTCAGCAGGGTGGTCTTGATCCCCAAAAGAGGAAAAGCAGACTACACTGATGCCAAATCATTCCATCCCATCAGTCTTTCCTCATTTCTCCTTAAGACCTTGGAAAGGCTGGTGGAGAGGCACATAAGAAAGGGTGTACTTCTCAACACACATCTTCATCGCAATCAACACGTCTACCAGCCAGACAAGTCCTGCAAAACCGCTCTGCCAAGTTGGTCAGCAGAATTGAGGACAGCCTGGCTGCTAAGGAAATAGCCCTATGCACCTTCATGGACATTGAAGGAGCCTTCGACAATGTAACATCCGAAGCAATGGTGCGGGGAGTTTGTGAGCTTGGACTCGTGAAATCTTTGTGTAGATGAACAGAGTCTATGCTTAACTCAAGACGCGTAGCCGACATTCTTAGTGAAAAAACTGTGGTCGCACCCACAAAAGGATGTCCACAGGGAGGTGTACTTTCACCCTTAATGTGGAACCTTGTGGTGGACGGTTTTTTAACTGAACTCACCAGCAAGGGCATCTTTGTCCAGGGCTACGCAGATGACGTAGTCCTCATAGTACAAGGACAATTCACAAACATTGTAGATGACGTCATGAATGTCAACCTGCAATGTGTTAAACAATGGTGTCTCAGAGAGGGACTTAACATTAATCCTTCTAAGACAGTCGTAGTTCTTTTCACCAGGAAAAAGAACTTGGATTCTCTTTCCACTTCTTAAGCACTCGTTAAATCTAATGTTATTTAAATTGGAAATGAATATGTCTTATTTTAGTAAAAATGTAATCAGGCAAGTTGAAATTCGCTTAGTCTGCAGGTTTGCTGCGGCGGGGGTATTATTTTATTACATAACATTGAATTGAATTTTACTCAAATTCAAATTTAATAAAATAAATCCAAATATAAATACAGCTTCAATAAAAGTTATTTCAAAGTAACATTGCAATTGCTCTATTACGTTCCATTTCTATCACACAAGTTTCAGAAGCTGGAGTACAACTGCCGGAGTGCCAGTGTCGGCGTAATGTGAACAGTGCACCCGTGCCGGCTAGAATTCGGGTTAACGGCATGTCGAGTGGATGTGAAACGAGCCTTACAGAGTTTTGTCATTTCACCGATTATAACTGTGCGTACAATGAAACAGGAAAAAATGTTACATTAATTGATAAATTTTGTCGGTTGCCACTTCAGCAACACAATTTGAGATCGACATATCTTAAACGGTGGCATCACTGGTGACGTCGCCGGTTACTGTAAGGGCAGCCAGCCTCAACACCAGAGAAGTCACCAGGAGTGAGACCAACCCCCAAAGTTCCTCCACTCCAGTGTCTACATACATTCAGCGCTGTCACCTCGTTGAAGGACAAAGTACTCTGTTATCCGCGTCTTACCTCTTCAGTTTAAAAAATGTCCAGTGAACAAACATTAGTGAATAAACGAGGAAGAGATGCAGGGAAAGGAAAAGGGGAAGACGACTCAGTAAAAGTAAACCAGTCTAGTGTAAAATTTAGTGGTTAAAAAAATACCACTACATTTTCCTTGGGGGTCACGTACATTTTCCTTGCTCGTCTCCTCCTTTTCCTCAACAAAAGACCAAGAAGTAGCATTTCTTCATATTTTTCCACCCACTACACTAGCAACAATCTTAACGTGCAGAACACAAATATACAGTGGTGACGCAACAGCGGTGACTGTGTGTAATATGTGCCATTTGATTCAATCCCCAGCGACAAATCTTGGCCACCAGTGGTTACTCGTCTGGTCACGGGGCAGAGTCACTGGTCAGTCACCAAAGGCTGGTGGTGCAACCGGTGACCCTAGTGTAATAGGCGCCATAAGCACCAGTGCCCATCAACTAGTCTGGTCACCGGTGACGTCGCCTGGTGACCAAGTGTTATAGGGCCCTAACAAATCAAAAGGTTAACAATTTAGGTAAGTTTCTTTGTCAACACAAAGAATCAGCCTACAGTAACCAGGCAAATGAGGAATAGCAAGTCTGATATTTTACTTCCTAGAAATAACTTACTACGATTTTAAGAGTACTCAGCCAAAGTACTGTATACACAATTTTCTCATACTCATTACAGTATATGATTAGTTTCTTTGACTTTGCAGAATGTTAGAGATCCTGATGTTGTTTTCATATCTTGTGATCAGTTTACTCTTAACAATCCTAAAAACCAAACGTTGAATTTAACACAAAACAGACTAAGGTATTAAATAAAAACTCAGGTTTAAACATTATAAAATACATATAATACAATAATGAGATGAAGCGTGATTACGCGCTAGTGGTAACAATTGTCAACTTCTGGTTAGGTGATGCAGTGTAAACCATTTCTTTTTGCTCTTCTTCTTCTCTCCAATATCTTCTGTTTCTTTTTCTAAAACCTTTTCCTTTTTGCTCCATCTCCTTTTTCCATCTTTTTTCTTCTTATCAGGTTTCAGTGTCCTCAAATCCACTTCACTTCCAACTGCTAAAAACCCAATTTTATTAGACAAGGGTAGAAACAACTCTAAAACTACTAAACATTTTTTACCTTATTAAAGTGATGATTATTGATTTATTCATTACACAGTTGATTTATTTCCTAAGTAAGTTACCAGTAAAAGTGATGTTTTAAATCAGAGAAGCATTCAAAGCTTTAAAGAAGCCAATGCAAAGAGTTGCAACAGTAACGAGGAAGCTTATCGTTTCAACACTACAATACTTTTCATAGCATGTAATCAAATACCATTCCATGTAATATTGAAAAGTTCAATCCAACTTCCGAGGTTCAATTTGTTATATATTACATTTGCTTAAGACAACTATTAGGTGAAGACAACTACTCATTTACAGTAAAATTAATTAGTAAACTTTTTACACCTATATCTTAAAAATGATTTTCCTACAGTTACCTAACAATGTACATGTTCTCTCACTGATTTGAGAAAGCAAAGTGGCCAATTCGCTCATCAGTACTCTAATTACTTTGTCTCACTCCAGATTTGCAACGTGAAAAGACGAAATAGTGAGCGCGTAAAATGCAGACAAGGTCGTATGCACGCAAAATACGTTGGCAGCACTGGCTGTAAATCAGCTGGTCAGCTGTTGTACTGTTGTATCATTAAATGTCATATTAAAAGTTCACTTCTGTGTAAAAATATGTCACGTTTCTTTACCAGTTTATTTGTTTTATGGTAACTGTAGGAAAAATATAATGTGCAACTCGAGTGCAAAGAGCAATTGCCTCACTCGAGAAACCATCCCTCACTCGCCTACGGCTTGTGAGTAAGTATTTCTCTTGAGTGAGTCAATTGCTCCCTTTGCTCACTAGTTGCACAATTAACTAATACCTGCCTCAATTAGAATACAATTATCAAAAATTGACCAATTTAAAATCCATTTTCACACTGGTTTGTCTCTTATTTACAATCTGACTATGTTTAAACATTCAATTGAAAGATCAGCTGTTCACATTTACATAAAGAAAGTTGGTCAGCATCACTGAGTATTTGAAAGCAAATTCTAGAAATATATCAAATGTTAGGGGGAAAAAGCCCTAACGGAAATTACATTTAAGTAACCATTTGTCACTCTGCTGGATCTTAAAGCTTTAAAATGACGCCTCAATCATAAAAATTTGTTAAGTAGAAAAGCTGATAAAAGGACTTAACAGCATTGGAACAAAAATACAGGGGGAAAAAGTCCCAGAACAGTTAAATATTCCAAAAAAGTAATAAAGATAGAGCTACCCAAACTTGGAACAAAGATACAGGTCATAAAAACTATTTAAAACATTATTCAGTGATGGGCTACCTACTCAGGGGAATGGCCCACGAGGAGTCAGAAGAAAATTCTGTAATGTAAACATATTATGTTTATAAATGCACATGAAATTAAAGGTGTTTGTTAGAAAAATACAATCGCAAACCCAAACTCAAACGAAGAATCAAGAATAAAATAGCAGTCGTTGAAAGATTTCTTGAATTTACTGTTGTTACATTTGACAAATGTTGTGTTATTATTTATTTTAAATATTTAAATTGAAAACTTTGACAATGTTACGCTTGCAACTAAACTGCAGTATTTTGTTGATAAAAATTTGAACTAGGTCTGTTGATAAATAAGCGTATTAGCGAATTTCCCTATAGGGAAGTAGCTATTACCGTAGGTGGCATGGTAAGACCTAGGCTCGGGACCGATTTACTTTTTCATTTTGATGTCCCCAGAGGCCAAAAACACCATTCGTTCAAATTTTTATATATGTATATATATATATAGAGAGAGAGAGATTTATATATATATATGTGTGTCCGTGAACACGATAACTTGAGTAATTTTTGTCCGATTTTGATGAAATTTGGTATAAAGGTGTAAAGCAAGATAAACTTGAATGAGTTCGCAAACCAGCATGATCGGACTATGGGAACGGGGGTTTATGGCGGGTTTTGGGGGGTAAAAATAGGGTTTTCCCATTTTTTACCCTAAAAACACAAACTTTCACAATTTCTTTCTAAACCATTTTGTAGAGCTTAAAAAAACAAATAATTTAGTATATTGAAGCGTTATTATGCGCCTAATGGATACGGAGAAAATTCAAAAATATTGTAATTTTAAAATTCCCATGTTATTCTTATGGAGAATAAGTCAACTGTTGTAGTTTGCTTGTTTATGAACATATTTTGATCAAATTTGGAAAATACATTAATTTCTTACTAAACTACAGTACCTATTAACATTTTACGTAAAAAAACACTTTTTACTCTCCCTGTTGCAGCAAACCTAAGTATACTTGTTAAACTAATTCTATTTAAATAGGGAATAAAATAAATGTGATATTTTTAAGGAGACATTTTAGTGTAAATCCAATCAGGCAAATGGAAATTCGCTAAGTCTGCAGGTTTGCTGCGGCGGGGGTATTTTGTTACTTCCTTGATAATATAATGACGGAGTATAACATAAAGAAAATTGAATGTTACCAACCAGCTGAGAATATCCCAAGTTGAGTTCCGACACTTCGATCCTCCTCTTTCTCCCTTAGACGGTCCATCTCCAGGCAGTCGATAATCTCGTTCCGCCTCTCAACTACCTCTACCAACCTGGCAGAAAAATTAACGTTTAGAGTGAGCTGATGTTGGCTAAATGTTTCTCCATACAAAGTTCAACAGAAACAAAATAATAGCAAACATCAAAATTAATGGCGCTTCTAGTGTTTTTGACCAGAGTGTACACCAGACCAGAAACAGTCCAAACCGAGAAATGAAATGAAATGAAATGAAATTATGTTTATTTCCCAACTAAAAAGTACAATTCATGGTATTTTACAGAATAAATTACTTAATCCTTGTCTTAAAAATAACTTACAAAATAATATTATAACTAAATGGCACAAAGAGATAAAAAAAAAAATACCTTATCAACTTATATGGAAATGTGTCTACATAGGCAGGGCCTGTGCGTAGACATGAGTTGCGGGTAATTTTTTTAGTGAATGGGAATTTTTTTTTTTAAGTGATTGTTATCACGTCTGCAAATAAATGTTGTCTTGCTTGGAACTGGACTACGATATTTCTCTGAAACTAAGTATAATCTAAAGTGCTTCTCAAAAATCAAGTGATAGGTTGATCAAAATAGTAGGATCAAAATAGTACCAGAACTATTTCAAGAAAACTATGATAGTTTTCACTATTGTCTTCGCTGTAGACCGAGCGTCGCAAATATGCGACATTACAAAAGGTTATAAAAATACATTTTTTTGTATGTGGCTAGGAAAATTTGGAATAATAAATGCTACTGGATCATGGCCGATTGTAATTTCATTAACAACATGAGCATGTGTGGTATTGTTGTCACAGAAAACGATTCAAGTGTTGTCATAACCCTGGAAGATGGTCTTGGTTGTTGCTGTAATCTCGTGGGAAGACCTTTCTGGTGTTATTTAAGTGTTTATAGAGTTTAAATAAACAGTAAAATATTCACAAAGATCCAAACTATGTTCTGGATGACCTGACACTTTAAAAGAGTATGTGAGAGCTATGTTCACGTACGAGGCAAAGCCGAGGACGGGAGTAACGGAGCAAGTGCCGGAAAATAACTTTCGGTACGAGTTATGAACGATACTTTTCATCACGACGCAAAAAGACACAAACACAGAATAATAGACCTCAGTAATATTACTACTATTTTATTTCTCAATTAATTTATTTAAACATCAAAATAAAATAAAATCTTCTATAAGGAAACCTGCGTATATTTTCAATTAATTTTTTAAACATCAAAATAAAAGAAAATATTTTAAAGGAAACCGTCAGCTGTTATTGAAAATTGTTACTTTCGTTACAGAGGGATGAAAAATTAATGTTTCTTCATCCAATACAAGCTCTGTTATGTTACGAGCACACAAGACACAATAATTGGAAAACATATAGTTTTCAAATTTTAAGAGCTTGTACGATAGAGGCATGTTCAATCCTGAACTATATTTCAATCTATCCAATCCGCCCTCTTGAATTGACTTCAGGCTGCCTGGTAGAATCCACTTAATTTGTAAAATTTGTACTTGGGTTAAGATTTGTATTAAGATATATAGGATTAGTTTTGAGATTTAAAATTCACCTGATTTGACCATCGCAGACGATGAACCAAAATCAACAACCATGAATTAATGTAGGCTATAAACAATTTTGTAACAGTATTTTTCTTTTCAAATTTTAGTTAAAGTTCTTTAACACGTTCGCTACTGCAATAGTACGAAATTTTTCATTCACATGGACCAGCGACGCACATATGCGATGGCCGGTTTCCACCCATAGACTGCCGTCGCATATATGCGACAGCTAGTCACATTAAAATAGACTGCCGACGCATATTTGTGTCAGGGTTCTAATGTTATTAAAATGCTTATATCTTTGTAACGGTCTATTTGAAGGCACTGAATTCCCTGCAGTAGTCTACAGAGATGTCTGACGCACAACTGCATCGCTTGGTCTGTGGATATGATGATTGGGGACGTCATATGATAGTTGGAAAAACTGGTCTTTAATTTTCTGCATCACTGTATGTATGTATGCAGTATGTATGCTGCATTATCCTACATAGCTTTTATATTTCTTCAGTTATAAACTGTTCTTGAATAATCTGTTTTATTTACTTACTTTCACCTCAAAACACAAACAAAAATGAACCGTCGCATATATGCGACGTTTGGTCTATTTCAAGAAAACTATGATAGTTTTCACTATTGTCTTCGCTGTAGACCGGGCGTCGCAAATATGCGACATTACAAAAGGTTATAAAAAATACAAAAATCAAGAATAAATTATTTACAAACACGATTGTAGCATATTACGATGTAAATGATCACTGTTTTACAGGTTTTCACCCATGGTCTGTGTGTACTGTTATCCAAGTGACAGCCGGTCTATGTGTAAGATTCAAATGTATACCTCGTTCTGTGGCAATGACCGCGGCATCGCATATGCGACGCTCAGTATTAAACCTTTGTACAAGTTGGTACTAAGGTTTGTTTTAAAGGTTAGGTCCATGCTATGGAATAAAAGCAAAACAGTTGATTAGTTCATGTGTTTAGTTTTTCCTATCTGTATGATAGTGGTCGATGATTTTTTTTATTTATTTTATTGGCACACTCTACAATCACTTAAAACTTGTGCCCTACCTTATTTTGTTTCGTAGAAAGTATAGTAGAAAAGGCAAAGGTCTCAGGCCCACTCAAAATAAAATTCCTAAACCACCATTGATCAAACAAAACCCTCTCTACATAAACCGGACAGAGCCAGGGGTTTCCAGAGAGGGGTTACTGTGTCGCGTTTGTGCAACAGGAAATTTTGGGGGGGGGGGCCTTTTTGAGGGGATTTTGGGGGGGATATTTTTTTGCTAGCTGTCATAATGCATGTATAATTTTGTATAAGCAGCCCGAAAAAGTGTTTCTAAGTAGCTCACTATCAACACCAACATTTTGCCGTTCGTAATTAAAATTGCTTTTAAGAATGGTAAAAACGCACCTTGTCAGACAATCCTTTATATACTAGTGTCAAATTGTACTTGCTACATATGTTTTGGTGGTTCTTTAATTCCACCATCGTCAGGATTTACAAAAGATCCACTTCTGGTGGTGTCGTCAGAATATGTTACAAACATTTAACACAAAACACAAAACGATTACAGATAGGCCTATCAATTCGCGGGTGTACATTGCCGTCGGCAGGACTGGAAGTTAACTGAATAAGGTTCAGGTTATGAAGGACCGATGTGGTCTCTGGATTGTCGTCTACGTTTTCAACAGCTGATATTGGACTAATGTAGTGACTGATAAGAGTGTTGAAACTATAGTGGGATTCATAATTAATTGAGTGTTTTCACTCAAAAGTTTTGTGCTGTCCCTAGTTTCATGTATGTATATATTTCAAACTCCTCAAAGTATTTAATCAATTTCCTTTTGCGCAGTACTGTAGAATTTTAAAACCATCATTTATATCCAGCATATAAATTGTTTATTATTGTCAATAATTTTGAATGGAAAACTCAATTATGAACCCCATTATATTTTCAACACTCTCCTCTGTCACTACAATTAGTCCAATATCAGCTTTTGATAACACAGACGACAATCCAGAGACCATGTCTTTCTGTCATAACCTGATTCCCACATACACGCATGAATTGATAGCTGCCTATCTGTTATCGTTTTGTTTTTGTGTTTTGTGTACAGACGGATTGTCTGAAAAGATGCATTTCTACCATTATTAGTAATAAAAGGCAATCCTGGGGCTATCAAAATGAATTATAAGATTACTTCGTCACAAAAACATTTTGTACTGGTGGCAATTAAGGTATTGTGGGTATTTTGCCCGGAGATTTTTGTAGAAGGCAGCCTGGGAGTGGTGAGAGACAAGTCTGTTTTTATTTTGTGACTCAGTTATAATTTTGAAACAAGATACTTTTTGCCAAAGTATTATTAATGCACTTAAAGCTGTTTGAATTCTTACTGTAAAAATTAACGCCACCTTATATATTGTACAGTTACAGTACTGGGTTGGAGTAGAGTAATTCACCGGGTATATTGTTGTACGTTTTGATGACATTGTCTATTGCAATACTGGGCACATGTTAGCTGACAATACAGATTCTGAATTAGTGAATTGTAAATTGAAAAACTTCTAATCCGTCCATCAGTTCGATATAATGATGTATTGTTAAATGATGTTTCCTATTAAACATTTAGTTTTGATTATCAGCAAGTTTGTTTTTTGTACCTCGAGTCTACTAAATACTTAAAATGCTCGTTTTATGAGGTAAAGGGAAAATTGTCAGAAAAATTGTTTAAATAGACGGCAGCATAAATTGGGGGGGGGGGACTACTCATTTGGCTTGGGGGGACATTGCGCCTCTGGACAGAGCTGACCTTACAATATCCTTTAGCTTATCCATGAGAATGGCAAATCCACAAGTTTAGTCTATACAGCATTATTATGCAAAACAGTGTCATCAAAAATGTGAGATTCAAAAAGTTTCACAATTAGTATATGAAATGGGAAAATATGACAGTGCCTAATCCCTATTCTCTAATACAAACATATGTGTGTGTGTATTAACTAGAGTACCTCTGAATGAGTTGCTCCTCCTTGGCTTTGTCAGAATCTGTTTTGTTTCTCTCTGGTCTCATCATCAAACAGCGGATCTGGTACTCCAACTCTGCGTGTTCCTCCTCCAAGTTGTGCTGTCTCCGTCTGAGGAAAGAAACATCTGTTATATAACCTGCAACACTTGCTGAATGCAAAATACAGTAAACACTTGATCACAAAAAGGGGCTAATTGCTTTATAGCAAAAATCTTAAATTAGAATCAGTGGTGGCCCTAGAGATTGTGGGGCCCAAGGCAAAGTTCAATAGCGGGCCTCTCTTAATACCTGAAATACAGCTCTGTTCAAGGGCTGCGGGGCCCCTGGAAAAGCGCAGGGCCCCAGACACATGTTATAGGAAAGAGGTTCAGCAAGCTAAGTTAGACTACAACAGTAGAAGGGTATTAAAAGCTAAAAATAAACCTCAAGAAATCTGGTCAGTGGTAAAAGATAGTTTAAATAAGAATGATGGTCTTTTGAAAAGCAGTGGAGATTCTTCTTTGTCTTGTAAAGGTTTTAATGAATTTTTTTTAAGTAGTGTTCAATTAATTGCTCAAGAGGTACCTGATAGTAAACACGATGTTTTATATTATTTAAATAAAATGTCTAATGTAAAAAGGTCAGAATTTTCTTTTAAAAATGTTACAGTTGAAGATGTTCATAGGGCAATTATTTCGTTAAGTAATAGCAAGAGCCTAGATGTGTACAACCTCAATTCAGAGATTTTAAAATTGGCTTCCCCTTTTATTGCTGAAGTTTTGTCATATTTGTTTAATTTGTGTATTGATTGTTCTGTTGTTCCTCAGTGTCTGAAGTTAGCTAAAGTGATTCCATTGTTTAAGAAAGGAGGAAAAAATGACTATGCTAGTTATCGTCCAGTGTCGATTGTTCCTGTAGTATCTAAAGTTCTTGAGATGTTAATGAATAGACAGATTATTAAATATTTTGAAGAAAATTTATTGTTTTCTTGTAGTCAGTATGGGTTTAGACCTAACCGAGGAACTGGTATGGCCATGTTAAACTTTATGAAAGAATGTATATTTAGCTTAGATAGTAAAAAACATGTTTTTGGTAGTTTTTATGATATGTCAAAAGCATTCGATACAATAGATCATAAGGTACTAATGGATAAACTTATATATTATGGTTTTAATGTTAAATCAACAAGTCTTATTCAATCTTACTTGTCAGATAGGTTTCAAAGTGTGTGCTTTAAAGGCTGTTTTTCAGAATATTTAAATGTCAAAATACGAGTACCACAGGGTTCAATTCTTGGTCCAACTATGTTTATTATTAATGTTAATGATTTATCAGCATCACTTAGCAATGCTTGTGTGTCACCTTATATGTATGCAGATGATGTAGCTATTCAAATTAATTGTTCTAGTCATAGTTTAGCCAATCAATTGTTGTGTAATTTTAACTTAATAATAGAAGACTGGGCAGCAGCTAATTGCTTATGTCTTAACAAAGAAAAAACACAAGTAATCAAATTTGATCACAATAATTATGATTTTAGTGAAGACGTTAAGTTTTTAGGTTTGTCTTTACAACCAAATATTAAATGGAACACCCACATCTCAAATGTATGTAAAAAAGTTTCTAAAAGCACTTTTGTGATCAGAAGACTTAGTAATATAGTAAGCTTAGATATTTTGTTAGCAGTTTATTTCTCTCTAATTCAAAGTCACTTGATGTATGGTATTGTGATTTGGGGCTGTGATAATAATATTAAGAAATTGTTAGTGTTACAAAAAAGAGCTTTGAGAGTAATGTGTAAAGTAAGGAGAAGAACCCACTGTAAGCCACTTTTTAGAAAACTAGGAGTGTTAACTGTACCTGCATTGTATGTGTTTATAATTGTATAATGCATTGTATATTGTATAATTTATTGCAATATATTAAGTCTAACATAAATGAGTTTCCTACCAATAGTTTAGTTCATAGTCATTGTACTAGACAAAATAGTTTTTTGAGAGTCAATCAGTGCAATTATCAAGCTACTATTAATTCACCTTTTGAAACAGGTAAAAGAATCTTTAACTCTCTTCCTCAAAATATTAAGTTGTTAGATGATAAGAAATTTAAAACATGTTTAAAAAGTTTATTGTTAGATATTTGTATATATGATGTGAATGAGTTTGTAGAATATTTGTCTCAACCCAATCTATATTTCAACTTATAGGTCTAGTCAATAAAATGTTAAATAGAAGTCTTGGATGTATACTAGGCCTAATGTTAATTATTATCATACTGTATTCTTCCCGGACGATGCCATGCATGTAACATGTTTTAAAGGCAATAAAAGTTTGTCATTTGTCATTTGTCATTTGTCACCACCTTGTTCGCCTTTATGTAGGGTCGCCTCTGATTAGAATAAATCTGTATCTTATATATTTTTGAGATGAGATTATGGGCCTAGTTATGTATTTTTATTTCAGCTAGTTAGCTAATCATCCAGGTACAAAACTAAAAACTGCAATTGTTTTCGGAAATAAATTGTTCTAAAACCATTGTTTCTTTTATTATTCACTCTTTTTCCAACCTCAAAATTATTGTTGTTTATCCTCTATCCTGTAATCTAGTGAGTATGAGTACTCTGAGTGGTGATTGGCGATTCGCGAACGATTAGCTCAATTTGAACGAATCACAGGGGGATTCAAATGAATCATGGCTCAATTTTTTAAAGAGCCGATTTGTACTTTGAATCAACTCAGTTGGAACTCAGTCTTTGCTGTCTTATATAACCTTCTAGGAATTAGACAAAAAATATAATAAAGACGACAGCTTAAATGTTTTACCATTATACTCGACCATGTTATACTCGTCTAGGGATGTGTCGAATCCGAATCTTGAATCCACCGAATCCTAAGAAAAGATTTAAATTCGAGATTCGATAATCGAATTTTGGGTCCGCTGACAGAATACACCGACTAGCCGCAAGCTCTATAATAATGTGTAGCAGCAGTGTCGATCTACGCACAGCTGCAACAAAGCCAAACTCTGTCTCAAAACTCATGGACATGGCTTCAATTACTATTATATTAATAGTCTAATATAAATCGTATTTTAAATAGGGATAGGCCGATAACAGAATTGCTCGATTCGATACCAGTTTTGAAATGACATATTACTCACTACTCTCGATAACGATTCCATTAAAAACTCATATTTCTAAGGAAGTTGCCATGGCCAATGTTTTGTTGTTCGTTTAAATTTTGAATCAGACAACCCGCGTGGTTCATGCAGGCCCAAAATTATTGTGTGCTCTCAGTTATTTATCGTGTCCAAGTCTGATAAGTAAATGGAATCAGGGAACCCCTCTTACTTTTAAGAAACGAAATAGTCGTAGACTGAAAACATCCAAATGAAGGTACTAAGGCTATCCAAAAAGTAAAGAACGTTTCGTTATGACGCCACTAGACACGCGCCGATCTCGTACATTTTGGTGCGTGCGCACTCGGCAACTCAGTCGGCGTCCAGCCGTGACAACGGGAGCATTCTTGTGCTGCCCGTTTTTTCACAATTTCAACTTACGATGAGCGCTGCGATAAAAAAACCCGCCAGTTAAGGGGTGCGGTCAGTGATACGGTTTTGTTGGAAAATACCTAAAACAGAAACTTCTCCTCAAGTTTCACGGACTTTGTGTTTTGAAATTATCACACAACAAAGCGAAAGACCCGTTATCGGGAATCGGCGGTTTTTGCGAACCTTTTCATTAACTTTAGCGACCAAATACGTCAGTCACAATGCTCAGGCGTCCGCCCTTCGCTTCGTCATGACTCATGAGCGTCAGATTGGCCATTTTTTATCTGAATGCACCATTTTCTCAGAAATTTCAATCATTACGTCTTTTTCCTTAAACTTCATACACTTGGCGATAAATGTCTATCGATTTTAAGTTTTATGCCAACACAAACCGTATCGCTGACCGCACCTCTTAACTGGCAGTATTTTTAATCGCAGCGCTCATCTTAATTTGAAATTATGAAAAAACGGGCAGCGCGAAAATGCTCCTGTTGTCACGGCTGGACGCCAACTGAGTTGCCGAGTGCGCACGCACCAAAATGTACGAGATCGTCGAGCCCCTAGCGGCTTCAAAACTAAACGTTCTTTACTTTCTGGATAACCCTCGTAGCACTGGTGGCACGGCCACGGCAACTCTGCTAGAAATTGAGACGCTGTAAAATGTTGTTATGTTGGTACCACTAGGATATTTATAGGCATGCATTGTGGATATGATACTCCCTGGTGTGGATTAACGTCCGCACGAGTGACTATCCGCAGTACTATCCTGATAATTAGACCAATTCCTATATACCAAGGAAAAATGTGGTTCGGATTCCACTATAAACTGTAGGTCCCTTAGTTGCCATTAGCTGTATGGGCTATTAATTAACAGCTGTGTCTAAGGAATGTCGGCCTTAGTCACTAACAAGACTAAAAGATCGCACCACTCATCCTTCACTCATCTCCATTCATACTTGGCTTAAAATACCTACTTTGTATGGTCGCCATTTCATTGAACAGTATTTAACAGTAACAGAATCAACCAGCTCATTGGCTGTTGGCTTCCATTGCAATCACACGATCCCCTGGCCTAGATCCAAAGTACTATTTCCCTAGTACATATGGCGGCCAACGTCTCTCAATTCTCGCATTCAGTGCTACCTTCGGTTGTGGGTTGTAGCTCTAGTCCAGTCCAGTCGTTCAGTGTGAGCGTTTGATTGTTCAAGCAACTATTGCCGCCATTGCCGGTATCGATCGCAATTAATATTTATTTGTTTGCGTTTGTGTAGCAAGCAATGGCAGAACTGTATTGTAGACACTAGACAGACGACGACATAATGATTTACATTACCCAATACGATTCCCATTCGACGCTCGACTTTGGATTGAATTGATGTTTAGTATTTATTTAATATGTTATTTAAAATTTTATGAGCAGAGTATACTATCGATCAACAAATTTAAAATTAACAAGTGTACCTACAACAATAAATAACCAATAATGAATATTTGCCGTCCAAATAAAGTATACTGACCGTTCGATTTATGTTAATAGCAGTGGCGGATCCAGAAAGGGGCTAGTGGGAGGGCTATAGCCCCCCCTTGGGTATCCAATTTACACTAGAAAAAATGTGTAATCTTTACTGAGAAGAATTAAGACTTATCTCAGGTCAACCATGACAGAAGACTGTTTGAACGGGAATGCACTGGCTCATATTCATAAGGAAAGGGAAATCGATGTACACAAAGTCCTAGACTATATCATTTTAGTCAGTCAAAAACAAGACGAATGTGTTTGTCAAATTGGACCATCAAATAACTTATTCATAGCGCTGTACTGTTAAAAAAGTTGTAACATTAAAGTTTCTTTTGAACAAGTTTTTTTTTACAATATTACTGTCCTTTAAAAAGTCGAGTTATTTCTTTGTTTTGAACTGTTACCCTTTACCCTTTTCCTACTGATATTAAATTATGTGATTTAAAGTGTTCTTAGTTTACTTTATGAACTTTGTTAATATCTACCTTAAAAACACAGTAGAATAAAAACTTTTAAATATTTCTGAACATAAAAAGTAGATATTAATTTTTTTATAACTTTCTATTCAATCTCGTCCCAAAAAAAATCCCGTCCCGCGGGAATTAAAAAAATCTTGTCTCGTCTCCTCTCAAAGTGAAAAATCTAGTCTTGTCCATCACTAATATATAGTTATGGATAGTATTTTTTAAATTGACTTATGATTTTGTATGATTTTTAGAAAGTAAAATGTGCCAGTATATTTTTGGTTTTGGAATAAGCAGGTGTACATCTAATACTGAGAGAGTCAGAAAATTATTGCCACTAAACGCATAATCTAATCTTGATCAAAGGGTGTAAGAGTATACTCACAAGTACATAAGTTCAGCCTGTCTACGGAACAACTCATTCTTTTCATTGACCAGCTCAAACAGTTGCAAAACCATCTCTTCTACATACGGGGTCAGGCTCGCCCCTTCTGTAACATGAAAACGTAAATGTGAATGAGGTTAGTGAAGTTATCTTTCGGGAACATTAAAAAATATTGGTGTCTGAGTTTCATGACTATTGTTTTAATTATCATTCTCTCGAGTCCTTACTACCTTGCTTCTCAAACATGTTTGAAAAAAATTGTCAAAAACCACCAAACACAATATATATAAAGTAATAATCTAACTAACCCCTCTCAATTTGGATTTCAGCATTTGTCTCTAAACTCAAAAAGCAGATGACAACATGATTAACAATATTGCTGGGGCCTTGGATGGAGCAAAGCAGACTGTAGGAGTGCTGTGTGACTTATCCAAGGTCGTTGACTGTGTTGATCATTTGTAGTATTTCTAGAAAAATTAATAAGACATTGAATAAAAAAAGACAGCATTACAATGGCTCGCTTCTTATCTGAAAAATGATAAACAAAGGATAATAATAAACAAATGTCAAAACATAATTACTTAATGGGAGGATGTTTAATTTTGAGTGCCTCAAGGATCAATTCTTGGACCATGTTTATTCATTTGGTTTGTAAACAACCTTGGAAGTGTGTATGAAATGCCAATATTCATAGTTGGGAAAGTTAGTCAAAAATTCTAAATAGTTATAAGTTATTAGTTAGTTAGTTAAAAAATTAACAGATAGAAATTATTAGTTTGCAGAAAAACTAAATGACAGAAAATAAAGTTAGTTTTCGTGGAAGTTGGCTGTTTGTTCTTTGTTGGGCAGTTGTTTTAAAGGATATCGTAATGACACATCTTGGTTACTAATCTATACTATGATCTGATCTATAATATTAGTAAAGTTTGCGCACAATGATTTAACCCTCCAAGTGTCTCTAGTTTTGGTCTTAATGTTCGCCCATTTATTGCGCAATCGCAGGGTTTTATTAAAATGTATCTTAGAAACTTAAAAACAATGTAAAGTATACTGTTTTATGTATCATTTTGTTTGAAAAATTATAGGGTTCAATGTAACGTATAAAACATAAAAAAAAAATGTTCAACAATTTTTGTGGGGTTAACATTTCTCAAAAATTATAAAATAAATGAAAAAGTTTAATATGTTTGCGCTCAATAAATTGTTACAATTTATAGGTCTACAAATATTTTAAAATAGGCACTTTGTTCAGAATTATATGAGGATTCCAAAAATATAGTAATATAAAGAAGTAGGTTTGCAAATAAATAAGTTATGGGCAAAAAACAGATTTCGGTACATAGCGTTTAGCTAAGAATGCATAGCCTAACCATAGCTAGGAATCTGGCTGATAATTTACATCAATATCACTACCTACTTCTTCAGGATCATCAACCAGCCCTTCAAACTCACTTAAATCTTCTTCTAATGCACCACGTATATCACTACTTTTGATTTTTAACACTAAAACAATGATAAAATACCCCCGCCGCAGCAAACCTGCAGACTAAGCGAATTTCCATTTGACTGATTGGATTTACACTGAAATGTCTACTTAAAAATATAACATTTATTCTTGATTTAATTAAATAGAATTAGTTTAACAAGTACTTAGGTTTGCTGCATCAGGGAGGGTAAAACTGTTTATTTTTTTTTGTAAAATGTGAATAGTTAGTAAGAAATAAAAACATTTTCCAAAATTGATCAAAATATGTTCACAAACAAGCAAACTACAACAGTTTACTTATTCTCCATAAGAATAACATGGGAATTTTAAATTTAAAATTTTTTGGAATTTTCTCCGTAACCATTAGGCGCATAATAACGCTTCAATATACTAAATTATTTGTTTTTTTAAGCTCTACAAAATGGTTGGGAAAAAAATTGCTAAATTTTATGTTTTTTGGGTCAAAAATGGGAAAAACCTATTTTTACCCCATAAAACCCCCCGTAAACCCCCGTTCCCATGGTCCGATCATGCTGGATCGCGAACTCGTTCGAATAAACGTACGTTTACACGTTTGTACCAAATTTCATCAAAATCGGATCATTTTTGCTCGAGTTATCGTGCTGACGGACACATATATATATATATATATAAATATATAAATATATAAATATATATATATGAATTTGAACGGATGGTGTTTTTGGCCTCTAGGGACCTCAAAACGAAAAAAAAAATCGGTCCCGCGTCCAGGTCTTACCATGAGTACTACGGTAATAGCTTATTCCCTATATGGGAAATTCGCTAAAAATAAAACACATTAGTCATCGGTGCGAGGTTAACCAAGCTGTTTACAAATACCCACGTCAGCTGTCTGCTACAATATTTTCGGAACTAAAATGAAAAGCGTATAAAAACAGACATCAGGAGAAAGCTCTGAATCTGCTGAAAAAAACAATACCTAACTCGATCCAGTTCAATCCGATTCAGTCAGTCCCAGAGCGGTCGCCGTAAACAGTGTTTGTGTGTCGCAAAAGCGACACATAACACTACAGCGGATGTGTTATGAGTCGCTTTTACGACACATAACACTCGGAGGGTTAAAAAAGGGCAAGTTCTGACCCCTGGTACTTGTTTTATAATCGAAAATTATCACGTTTTACATTACTACAACAGAAACAAATGACTTAACCCTTCCCGGGCTATGGACGGATATATCCGTCAAACTCCATTTACGTTGCGGGCGGGAAACGGTTATATCCGTCGCGATAAATTTTCTTTACGGGATAAAGACGGATATATCCGTCAGAAAAACAAATTGATATACATTGGTTATAACGTGAAAATAAACATCTTAATGCATTATAAAAGTGTTATTTAGTTTTTGTGGTTGGCAGTAATGTTTTCTGCGACTGTTTCAGCTTCTATTTCGCGCCATAGAGTGCGTTAGTTGTGTGTAAATAGCGCGAAACTGTCAGTGTGGGACGCTCTCATTTGGTTAGTGTTTGCTAACAATTTGTTATGTGCTTTATTTATTTTATTTAGCTAAAATGACTAATCCAAATGATCCGAATTTTGAAGTTGATGTGATTGAGATGTTGAATAAAAGTGTATCTGAGGGAGACTTTGTGTTTGACAGTGGAAGTGACGGTATCGGCATGGATTGTGATGATGAAGAACCTGACGAACGGTCTTCACTTAGTGAAAGTATTGGGGAACATGAGGTTATGGAAGCAGAACTTAGTGGTTTGGATGTACTTCAAAGTGATAACGTTTATGATGAATTGATGGCCGTAGATTTCGGTGATCAAAACGATATTGTTCCTAATGAAAACAATGAAAGTGAGAATTTTGGAAGTAAACAAGATAGTTCTGACAAATGTGATGAACATGTTTTGTTTTGTGATGACGAAAGTGAACAGGAAGAAAATGTGTCTAATGATCTAAGTACAGAACAGGACAGTAGCAGAGGAAGGCAAACTTTACCGTTTAGAGGAAGAGGATATGGGCGAGGCAGTTGCAGAGTAAGAGGCGGTGTCCGTACCAGAGGGGGTCGAGGCAGGGGCAGTGGAGGAGTTGGATTACGCGTCAGGGGAGGAGTTCGAAGTGGTGGCAGAGGAAGTGGAAGTGTAGGAAGAAATAGAGGTGGAATGGGAGACGGGGAAAGAGAAAATGGTGCTAAAACACTTACAAAAAAACAGAAAGAACGCATCGTGTGTGATCGACAGTGGCTGCAAGTATCGAACCACGACCCAGGTCCAGTAAGTACCTTTCCTATTATAAATGACGGCGCTGGTGTAAATATTCCATCTACTTTTGACGAAGATACAAAGCCTGTACAGTATTTTTCCCTTTTTTTTAATGATAATATACTAAACCTAATCTGCACAGAGAGTAATTTGTATGGCAGCTCTAAACAGGATGATGAAATCCTCAGTCCGAAAAGCAGATTTCAAAAATGGGAACCGTTATCTGTAGTGGAGCTAAAAGCTCTCATTGGAGTTGTTATGAACATGGGTATGCACCCTTTACCCGACCTAAAAGACTATTTTTCTACCAAATGGGTAAATAGAATGCCTTTTTTTAGCGATGTGTTCAGCCGAGACCGGTTTTTGATTTTGTTCTGGTCCCTGCATTTTAGCCACGAAGTAGGACCTGACCGTGATCTGAAGATAAGGCAAATTGTTGATCACATCAAAGAAATGTGCAAGACATTTTACACTCCGAGCTCGTGGGTGTCTGTTGACGAAAGTACGGTTTCTTTCAAGGGAAAGATCGTCTTTAAGGTATACAATCCGATGAAACCAACAAAGTTTGGCATGAAGATATTTGTCCTGTCTGATTCCCTGAACGGCTACATTTATAATTTTGATCCGTACTATGGGAAGAATGAAGACGATCCAAGCACTGATGATTTGTTAAAGACTACCAAAACAGTATCACAACTATGCCAAACACTCATCAAAGAGCCCTCTAATCCACCTTCAGGAACCCATGTCTACGTGGACCGATATTACAACAGCCCACAATTGGCCCAAGAGCTCCTGAAAATGAAAATGTACGTAACTGGTACGGTTTTGCCAAACAGGTCACAAATGCCTGTCCTAAGCAGGGCACTGGAAAGAGGAGAGGTGGAGGGTCGTAGAAATGGGGACATAGCTGTGGTTTATTGGAAGGACAAGAGAGTGGTGACTGCCCTCACCACAAAACACAAAGTAGACAAACACCATATGGTTGATGTTCCCTCCAAAATACCAGGAGTCGATGGTGTAAGCAAACCAATTGCTGTAGCAGACTATACTAAGCATATGGGTGGGGTCGACCGGAGTGACCACTTCATATCTAACTACCAGTTCCTTCGCAGAAGTAAGAAATGGTACAGGAAAATGTTTTTCTGGCTGTTGGATGTAGCAGTTGTGGATTCCTACATACTGTACAAAACAATGCAAGAAGGGCACGGTAAAACGCCTATGAGCCACAAGAGCTTCAGGATGAGTGTGATCGAGGATCTGGTCAGGGAGCACATGCAGTCACGTTTCCGACTGGAACGCCGCAGACCTGGCCGTCCAAGGGAAAATAATTGTCAGCGGTTGGATGGCAAACTACACCTCATGGGAAAGTTGGAAAAGGGCTCCAGAAAGTGCTGCGTGTGCCTGAAGAAGAAGCTGCGAAAAGAAACTGTCTATTTTTGCAAAACCTGCGCAGAAAAGCCGTTTCTCCACCCCGATGATTGTTTTGCAGTGTACCACACTGAAGCTGAGTACTAGGGCCTTTTTTCATTGTGTATCTCATCGCCCTTTTTGAAATGTAACTTATACATAATTACTTTTATCTGTAATTTTTTATGGCCTAGTAAGCATAAATGTTGTAAGTATTTTTTACTGCTTTTCTCAATCTCCAACTTTTTTGAATACACGTTTTTTATAAAGTAGGCCTACATTTGTAAACAGAGTTTTTTTATATACATTCCAAACCAAATAACCTTGATTTCAACGTTAATTTATAATTTTTATTGTGAAATTTAGCTGTAATAAACAACTTTTGTATATTAAAATGTTGTCTTTTTTTGCCTTTTTTATAAAATTGCTGTTTTTAGGACAATAAACTCTAAATTTTATAGATGACTAATAAAACAAGTGAAAAACTAAGGTAGACGGATATAACCGTCCGACGCCCACAAAATAGCCAAGGTCAGCAGTGTTCATATATTATCGTTACGGGCGTCGGACGGAAATATCCGTCCACCTTACGTTTCTTGCGGGCCAATGACGGATATATCCGTCAGATCAAATTTTCTTTTGTTTATAACTTGTCTAAAAAAAATATTTCAGGAGAAAAGTAATGTTGTTTATACTCTATGAATGATTTTAAGCAAATAAAAAACAAAAAATAACAACTTTAGTTTTTGAATTTTGGTGAAAAATAATTAAGCTCCAGCCCGCCATTTTATTTAGCCCGGGAAGGGTTAAAACTTGGCAGATAATGAACATCAACTGAAGACAATGTTTTGACACTTGAGATGATAATCACCAAACAAACATTCCCCCTTCCCACCCCTCAGTGCTTGGGGTGTTGATAATGGCCATCACTGCCCTTCCACAGGCCCACTTCATTCCAAACACCAAAGCAACTGGACTTTGACTTTCTCTTTCCCCACCAACCGCGTTCTTTGTCTACAAGGGCGCTGACCTCTCACGGCCGCACGCAACCCTCACTGATCGTGTGAAATCAATAACCTGTATTTGAGATGCTTCCGCATAATTGGGAACGTTAGTAAAAAATTTACACTATTTAGAAGTTATTAGTTAGTCCCGTGAAAAGTAACTGATAGAAGTTATTAGTTAGTTAGTTTAAAAACTAACGAATAAAATATAAGTTAGCCAAAAAAATTAACGATTATTGCTATTCATTAGAATTTCTATTAGTTTTTTCCAAGTATGCCAAATATTTCAGTATTCAGATGACACAGCAATAATTTGAAAAGATAAAAAAGGTGTTCACATTCATCACACCAACACCAGAGAGCTTAATTCCCTTAAGGACTGGTTTACTGTCAACGGCCTTTCCACAAATGTATCCAAAACACGGCTGATACAATTCTCTGCCTCCAATATAAAAGACGAGATAATCCTTGATTCAAACTCAAATTTGATAGTTTCTCAATATTCTGATGATTATCTATATAAATAATACCCCCGTCAGAAAAAAACATTTTCCAAATTTGATCAAAATATGTTCATAAACAAGCAAACTACAACAGTTTACTTGTTCTCCATAAGAATAACATGGGAATTTTAAATTTACATTTATTTGGCATTTTATCCGTAACCATTAGGCGCATAATAACGCTTCAATATACTAAATTATTTGTTTTTTAAAGGTCTACAAAATGGTTTGGAAAGAAATTGCTAAATTTTTAGTTTTAGGGTCAAATTGGGAAAAACCAATTTTTACCCCATAAAACCCACCATAGACCCCTGTTCCCATAGTCCGATCATGCTGGTTCGCGAACTCGTTCGAATAAACGTGGGTTTACATGTTTGTACCAAATTTCATCAAAATCGGATGATTTTTGCTCGAGTTATCGCGCTAACGGACATATATATATATATATACATGAATTTGAACGGATGGTGTTTTTGGTCTCTAGGGACCTCAAAACAAAAAAAAGTAAATCGGTCCTGGGTCCAGGTCTTACCTACTGTAATAGCTTATTCCCTATAGGGGAAATTCGCCAATATTCCCTATAGGGGAAATTCGCTAAAATTAGAGTTTTGTCTGTACATTGCTCAGAATCATAAACTTTTAGGTTATTTTTACGTTTTATACATTAATAAAACCGAAACAAGTCTCATCTAAATTTCTGTCTGTCTGTCTTCCTGTCTGTCACGGCCCAAGAGCCATTTTACGCGGCCTCCTCCTGAAAAACGAGAGTACCTATCAAGTTCCAAATCATTTTAATGTATTCACTGGATTGGCGAGATTGTCTTAAGCCATTACAATATGGCGTCACTACTTTGTAAATAAAATGATGGACGTTTAAAAACCCAATTTTGTGCGATTTTTTATTAAGTTTCCTCCCAATGTTTATCACATATTCATCTATGAAATAACGAACAGCTGTTCGAATCAAGATTATTTCTTCTAGCTGTCACTGATATGTTTACATTGAATGTTGTTTACAAATACCGTAACCAATTCCGATCACGTTTTGAAAGCAAATCCAAACCAAGTAAGATTAAAAACTTTTTCCTTACATAACGGATTTAATTAATCGCAAGTGCAATAATTTGTAGGGTAACCGTAAATGAAAATAGAGATTCTTTGTGTATAAAATTGTTCTTGAGTTTTGATAACCGGGGAAAAAACCTTGAATCAGTGTCGTATATGACTGGGAAACTTACATTTTTTAAATGAGCATTTTCAGTCGAGACTCGGCACACAACCGATGCGCGTCTACATGTCCATAGTAAAAATAAAAGTAGGCCTACCGTGTATTTATGTTTTATTCGTCATGTGTATAAGTGTACAGTTCGTGTATGTGTTTCAAAAACTCCAAGGCGCACCCAATGGGGAAGCTCAAGACCTTATATTAGGACTGATGATAGCGATTTCATTTTGCCGAAATGCGTCTCCTGTAATAGGATACTTTAGGATCGACCGGCAGACACAGGTAATTTAACCTTTTATTGATTGTCATACCGATCCGAACAACAACAAACAACATAAAATGAAGTTATGTATAATAGTTTGGCCAGCATATCTGAAAATATGCAAATCAACTGCTGTTCTTTATACTGTATATAAGAAGGTTTCAACTGAATACTATAAGATCCCCGTGCGTAGAACGGGTACACAGCTAGTTTAGGAATAAAAATAGACTCCCATTTAAATTTGCAAACTCACATTGAAATGAAAATTTATCAAAAAGACTTCAGCTATATTTGTTTTTCAAGTAACTTTGATACAAAAATTGCAGACACATGCTTATTTTGCTGTAATTACGAATTACTGACTTATTTTATGGAGATTGTTTGCATGTATCGAAAAAGTGTTTGCTCTTCAAAAAAGGGCGATTAAACAAGGAAATATAAAAATATATGCCAAGATTCCTCAAGAATATTTCAGACATTTCAAAATTCCTACTTTTTATAGTGCTTATATTAATCAACATGTTCTAATGGTCAAGAGAAGCTTGAAAGGTTTTATGAAAAAAAATCTGCACTTTAAGCTTGGTTAAAAAAAATCACGCATAATTCCTGGTTTTACAGGTCGGTGGACTGGACACCCTGTCTCAACTCATTGACAGCATTCCATTGGTTCTTTTCTATGTTGAAAAGAAATTGCAACCATTAGAGATGATCTTGGTATCATGGAGACCACAAGAGAGGCTCAGGACTGCTCACCGAGACTAGATATGTGAAGAAGATATGCGTATCGCGTATGAGGGTATCGTTGAGACTGCAATATATGGTCACAAGTGTTGCTGCAATCACAGGAGACCCCATGACAGCCCACACAGTGTTTCTTGTACTGGTCATCAATAACATCAATAATCACAGAAGATTCTTCCATAGTACTATTAATTCTGACCCAAGACAATTACAGCAACAATGTGCTCTTCTTGTAAGAAAACTACTAGGCAGCCAGGGTAAACGATTTGACTTAAAATAAACTTAATAAATACTTGCCCAATATTAGTGATGGAAACACAGTATGGACAGCATTATGACATATTGGTGTACATAAATCTAAAGTCTACTAGATCCATTATAAATAAGACCTATAAAATGCACTCTACCTTGTTCAAACTTGTCTCTTATTGTCTGCTCCAGCTTGACCCCTTGTCTCTCCAGTCCTTGCTGTTTGACCTCAATGTCGTGCAGCTCCTGCCGCACAGCAACCAGTGGCATCGGGGCGACGTTGCGCCGAACCGGCACGGGTCGCGCTGGCGCCGGGCCTTTCTTGCGCCGCCATTGTCCAGACATGCTCTTGTGTGGCGTGTAACTGCTGAACGTACTCGCAGTGCCGATGGATGATGTCTCTGAAGTGACTATAACAGTGTTGCCAGCAAATGTAAACTATCTCAACAGTTAGAATACAAGAAAGAAATAAAGCATGTTTTATTGTTTTGTTTATATAACAAAGTAGTTATATGCCTAGCCACCCTACAATAATGTAAATTTGGTCTTAAAATTACTGTAAACAAAAACAAAGTCAATAATTGTGGTGCAGAAGCAATCATCTAGAACCAGAGTGCTTGCAGAAAAGTATAATCAACCATTTGTTCATATTTTGATTTTATATTTTACTGTAAGGACACTGACAGCAAATAATTTCTTTCTTATCAGCTTTAGATTTAAATACAGTACACTCTTGATTATCCAAAGTCGTTTTAGGCTTGAATATATGCTTGAATTATAGTTCCAGAAAATCGCCGATTCGATTGAGTATCAGACGCTCTAAGATTTTGTATGTCTTAAGAGAGAAACAGGTCGAAAGTTCTTAGGATCGTTTGGATCTTTCCCGGGTTTGAGCAGTGCAGCCACACAGGCTTTTCTCCATGCTTTTGGTATATGCATTTGGCTTACGCACATATTCATGAGGCTCAACAACCATTGCATTGCATTTTTACCTAGGTTCTTAAGTTGTTCGACTCTGATCTCATCAATACCTGCAGCTCTATTAGTCTTTAAGCTGGTAATGACTGCAGTTAGCTCGGACATTGTGAATGGTTCCTCCAGGAAGCGATTCTCACTTGCCACATCACGCACAACAGGCTCCTGGTATTTCCTTCCATAGGTTGTGCCATTTAAAGAAGGTTGGTAGCGACTTGATCGGCGGTAACTGTTGTAAAGTTGTCTTTTGGTTTTGTCGCATCTCCATTTATGCTCTTGAGGAACTTCCAGGCCCGTCTGCTGTTCACCTGCATATCTAAACTCCCCAAAAGATCACACCACTTAGTTTTGCGATTTTCGGCTATGAGTGACATAAGCTCTTCACCTGCTAGAAGTATTTCCTCAGCAAAGGGATCATTGTCAAAGAGATCTGGTATAGTTCTAGCAGTGGCTTTGCCTCTTCAGAGAGTCCTGCGATGTAATGGGTTCGACAACCTCTAGGTATCATTTTTCTCAAAACATGCTGGACAAGCTTGACGAAGGAGTCATACATATCAGGTTGTGGAGGGATATTGGTGATTTCTCTGTCAATGATCTCCCTAAAACCCGTCCAGTTGGCCATTTTGAAATCAAACCTGCGCCTTAGAGGAACAACTTCAGGCTTAACAACAGCACTAACATACTATAGGTCTGTGTTGAGTTCGGGAAATTGGATCACCTACAGACTTTTCACACTGTGAGGCAATCCTGCTGCTCACAGACGTTGTCAGGGTTATAACCTCTCTTCCATCTACCGCTGTTAAATGAGCAAGGGAGCTTAGGATCGTGTATGAGCTGCAGGTCATTTGCCTTAGCCCAGGTTTCAAGTTTTGTCCCATTTTCACTTGTCTCTTTGTATCCCCAAGCAATGCTCTAACAATTAAAATCCCCCAGGACGAAATTAATGTCATCATAGCATAGATTATTGGGCTCTGTAATAGTAATTACATACTAACATTCGGGAGGCTTATACATAGAGCCGAGGTGACACTGAACTGTGGTGTCCTGACCGTTAGTATCTCAGTATTGTTCCTCTCAGTCAGCAAAGCTGAGGTGATGTCAATGTATGGCCTAGCAAAAACAGCGCTACAGTACTATATTGATCATGAGGTAGAATCAGTCTCATTCCCTCTATGTTGGATCTAGGATTTAAAGTGCCCCGGTGTGTTTCTTGCACATGGATGAAGTCGCATTCGTACGTCTTGCACATATCAGACAGTAATATATCTTTGTCTCTCGATATTCCTTTGATATTAATCGACATCGTTACTAATGGCCTTGAAAAAGGCCGTTTAGGTAGACTAATTTTTTGAAGTCTTCCGGTTGTAGAAGGATTTGCTGCTGAAATGTCAGCGGTGCCCGGGGTGCGCCCGATTGTGATGTCGTTCTTAGCGTGTAATGTTCACAATCTTCGGAGAGGCTCCTCCTGTGCACCCCAGAAGTTTTGGGATGACAAATCACCAAACAAACATTCCCCCTTCCCACCCATCGGGGTTGTTAGTGGCTGCCACTGCCCCCCCCTGGTCAAAATGCATACAAAATTTCAAAGCAACTAGACATTCCCTTCCTCCCCCCCCCCAACGCGTTGTTTGTCAACAAGGGCGCTGACCCTCACGGTCACACGGTAGCCGTTTAGTTTGGTGAACCCTCACCAATCGTGCAAAAGAACTCGTTTTTAGGTACTTCCGCCCGTCCAAAAATCTAACTACTTAAACTCCAAAACTAATAACGAGTATATTATCTATTTGTTAGCTAGAATCTAACTGAGTAGATGTTATTTTCAGTACTTTTTCAAAACTATCGAATATGATACAAGTTAGCCGAAAAAACTAACAAATATTGCTAATTGTTAGAATTTCTATTTGTTATTCCCATGTATGGTAATACCTTATTCCTTATATGAGAAATTCGCTAAAAAAACATGAATAATTAATAAAAAAAAAAATTAACGTAAATTGTAACAAATAATTATTTTACAGACAAAACCTTAGAAAAACGACTCACTAGAATTTTGACGCTGACGGTTGAACAGCTGTTTACATTCGGTTTCCCAGAGAGGGGAGCTTGGACGAGAGGAGGGGGGAGAAGTTAGAGGTAAAGGTGGAGGGGAAGGAGTGGTGGGGGGTCGAGGTGCAGCGTAAGACTTCCGACTACCTGGAGTGTTGCTAGGCTGAAACAACACAAGGCAGAATGTTAGTTCAGAAGAAAAAAATCAAAGAGTGTTTATGTTTGTACATATGTTTTACACTATAAGTATGTAAGAAAAAAATCAAAGAGTGTTTATGTTTGTACATATGTTTTACACTAAAAGTATGTTTAATTAAATTAGTTATCCAACATGTAAATTTTAATTTAATATATTGTGGCTACATAGTTTTGCCATTAATTTGAATCTGCTAATTACTGTCTCAACTGTACTTTGAATGTTAAAATTATCATATGATCAGCTGACTGTTTGTAAACTTTATAATATTTGATATTATAGTAGTTCTTTCTTAATACAAAAGTGTTTCAATGTTATAATCTCTTCTTTTAATTAACTTATTTTGTGTTAGTATATTTATATTATGCATATTTATTTATATTATTATTATCATTATTATTTCATTCATAATCATTATTATTTATATTATATTATGCAATTTACAGAAATCAGTCATATAAACAACGCTATAATTTCAAAAATTCTCTCCGCAACACAAAGTATAAAGCATGGCGTCCCGCAAGGATCTATTCTTGGACCCTTGCTTTTCATTTGTTATGTTAAGAATATGCCAAACTGTCTATGTAACAATGTAATATATAATTCTAAACTCTTACAGTATGCTAACGATTCTAATCTTATTGTATCTGCTAAATGTCAGATTGATTTGGAAGTAGCAGCTCATATAGAATTATCACAAATCCAAGAATTTTTTGTAAACAATCAATTAATGCTAAATTCACAAAAAACTAATTTTATTTCTTTCAGCACTAAGCAGAACAAAAACACAATAAATCAAATTGATTGTACAAAATCTTTAGGTATCCATATTGATGAATGTCTTAGGTGGGATCATCATGTAGGAAGCATTGTGCGTAAGGTAAATTCTGGAATCTATGCCTTGAAAAGAATGTTTTATTTAAGTGACCTAGCAACATTAAAAATAGTTTTTCATGCCCATATCCAATCACATATATCTTATGCAATAGTAGTGTATGGAGGCACTTCCCAGAAAAATTTAGATAAGATACTTGTTTTACAGAAAAAGGCAATAAGAATAATGTTAAATCTAGATTATAATGAGTCTGTAAAGCAACATTTTGTCAATTTGAAACTATTAACTGTGTTTAGTTTGTACGTACTGGAATGTATCGTACATGTAAAAAATAACCAGGAAAAATTTAAAACGCATTGTGAAACCCATCAATACAACACTAGAAACAAAAATAATATAGTTCTACCGAAACACAACTTAGAAATGTATAAAAATAAGCCCTCATATGCCGGTGTACAGTTTTTAAAGTTAATACCAAATGAAATAAAAGATATTAAGGATATAAAAAAATTTAGACAAAAACTTAAAGAATTTTTTTTTTAAAAACCCATCTACTTAATAGATGAACTTTTTATGAATGTATACAGCTATAGATAGTTTTATTTTCTGTATTTTTTGTTTAGGTTAAGTATTTGTACATAAGCTTGACACTATTTATTGTACGTTTTGTACATAATATAAATAAAGATAATTTGAATTTGAATTTGAATATATAAGGCACAAGCCTTAATATAACTAGTGGCTTGAAGGCACATAAGTCCCTAAAAAGCAGTGTTGGGAAGCTACTTTTAAAATGTAGCTAGCTACAACTACTGCTACATTAAAAAAAAGTAGCTTAGCTACAGCTACAATGAAATGTAGCAATAGCTACAATTTTAGCTACTTTTCCAAAGACGTTACTTTTATTCCACGCACATTAGGTAAATGTAAAATTAATTGCAACTACATTTTTATTTAACAAACATTCAAACAAGAAAATATCGGTATTGTATCTAACATTACTTGGAAAACAACTTATTCTTAGATTGTATTTAATTTGTTGGCATTATAAACCTAACATTACAACAACAGAACCAAAATAGTTGGGTGTTCCATCATATTCAGTATTTTTTTTTTTTTATATTGCACTAACTTATTTTTAAGCATCTTATATGTAAATTTCATTAAGTTCTAAGGACATACAACCAAACTATATTTTAAAAGCTCATTTTATTTCTTTAATGTACCCTACATTCATTTATAGATGTCTTATATCAACTATTAAGACCAATAAAACTTTAAAACGATTATTTAAAAATACTTTTTTGTGTTACAGAACCTAGCCTACTGAAATTGGAGTTTATTGCCTTTCTTTATATTTAATGTTAAAAACGTCATTGCTATAACTTTTAACCATAGGTAGTGAGTGATAAGTTACTTGTTCTATGAATAACTTTTCAACGTCAAGAAATCGTCCTTAATTGCCATTATGCATAGGGCAAATTGTGCTTCAACAAACGTTGGTGCAGAAAACAGTATCCAACAACTTATCCTGAAATTGGCTATTTCATTTAAACATGTTGAAAATTGTAAAGTAAAAATAACATGTAGGCCTACTTTGCTATGTAACAAGTTGGCTATAGTGGGCTTGTTCTTACAAGGACTAAACAGATATATTCCTATTAATTGAACTTGGAATTTGTATTAATCCAATAGCATAGCCTAGGAATAGTCCTTGACAAAAGCTGTTAGCAGGAGCAAACTATGCTATCTTTACAATGTAAGTTTCATGTTATATGAAGATTTTTTTGTTAAAATTATTATGTAGTCTAGGCATACCTAAAATCTCATCAGGAAATTTCTTCTTCGTTAATTTAGTAAACCTTTGAAAAATCTTATAATCCAACCGAGGAAGGGCTTGTGATGATGAACCACAATCAACAGCTGAAGCAAAGGTTGATATACCAGCTTTCTCATTATTTTAAGGTTTAGTGTTGGTTTCCAATAAAACCCAACTTGAAACTATCGATATAATAGAGAAACTAAATTGATTACTAATTTCCCTATCAATCACTTGCAAGCATTCATTAGCTTCTCTTGTTACCACCGGTAACGTTTAAACGTCGTCTGCAACTAGCGATTTTATTTTATCTGACAGTAATCATAGAGTAGCAAATAAAGGAAATGAGAGCCAAAAATGTGGATAACACTCAGGTAATGGCCTCCATGTCTACGCAACGCTGTAATTGGTAATGAAACGGCTGCGACCAGCTGTATGAAGCCAAGAAAGTAGGCCTATTTTTTTGGAAAATCTCAGTTTGAAAGATGTTGTTACACGTAAGGTTGTGATAAAAAACACTATCTCAATCAATGTTAATGTAGCGAGAAAAGTAGCTAAAATTCCGCTACAACTACTTTAAAAATGTAGTTAGCTACAGCTAAAGCTATAAAATCTTAAAAGTAGCGTAGCTACAGCTAACTCTACAAAAAAAGTAGCGTCGCTACTTGTAGCGCACACTTCCCAACACTGCTAAAAAGCTTAAATGTAACCAAACAATTATTGTAATATTCAAACAACCTCAGCGTAACATTATCAAGCCTATGTGTCAGGACAGATGTCCCTGTACAAGTACACCATAAAAAACAGTCTTTTTGTTAGATTTTGTTGATGTTAATTTCAATAAATAATTTGAATCATTCCTGAGGCTTAACTCTGCTTCCGTCAACAAACTGTATAGTGTATAGTATATCTATAACTGTATATCTATATCTATATATACAGGATGTTTATAAAAGAATGCTGGGATTTTAAACGGCTGTTGCTCGGAGACTATTCAAGAGAATTAAACGATTTGAACGTCAAATTGAAGGAAAAAGAAAAAACATTTTCTCATACTTTGATAAAATTCGGAATAATACAAAAATCTGATTTTCATCAATCTCATATGAGCGTAAAACCATCGATGTATAATAACTCTACTGGATATCGTGCTGTGTGGTGGAAAAACGGTCCGTGCCCACCAGTCGAATTGGTGGGATACTGAGGCAGACGGGCCGAATGAACCTCTCTGTTTTACACAAACATACATTCACTCAACCTGCTCTGCTACACTTATTTGTAAACATAAAAATTTCAAATTTATATGTTATTTTTTTGGAAAGACCAGTGCTTATTACTATGTAGTTAGCTTTAACCTTAACATATTTTTTATAATTTATCCATTCTAATTAAAACTGATGATCTGTTTTTAACACAACTAAAAACATGAAAAATGTAGTAAGCGAGGAACTTTTTTGTTTTTTGGTCAGGAAAAAAATTCCTGCGGCAAAGTTTTAGATTAAAGTAAGAATTTTAATTTTTATTTGAAGCTTTTTTTATACGGAGTTTGCTTAGCCTATATCATTTTTAAGCGATTAAAAATGGGCATAAAATCGGACGGCGCGGCATTGGCGCTAGGAGCTCAGCCGGATAGGCATCAGTTTACGGGATTTAGATACTGAGTTTCTGGCATTTATTTATCATTATATTACTTCAAATATGTCATTACATTACGAAGAATGGGTAACTAAATTTACAAGCTTATGTTTATGCATTTTATTGCTTTATTGCTTAGTTTTTAAACAATTTGTTGAATCTAAGAATAAATTTCGGATTCACAGTAGTATTTAATATTAACCTGAGAAAATATTTTGGAATTATTTAACTTCACTGAGAATAATCAATGAATTGGAGATATTGGCATAAAATATTTACACACTCCTTTTATTTAACAACATATGATATATTTTTCAAACAAATTTATCACAATATGACAGAGAAACATACTATAATATAAACAAAGTCAAAATGTATATTCTTAGATGTTGCTAAGTCTTTCAATAATAATATATTGGGGCTCACAGCGGCAAATGATGACATGATCAAATTATTATTGTGATATTTTGTTCTGGCCAATGTTCAAATATAAATATTGTAAATCTAACTCTTTCAAAACATCACTTAATTTTTTCTGAGATTTACTTTTGATACCTACATAGTCTGCAAAGTGTGAGCAAGTGCTTAGATTAATTATATCTGCTTATAAACCTCCTTAAGTTCGTTACAATCAATTTTCCTCGTAATATTTCCAAAAAACTAACATAGCAATATGCG